ACCCATACTCCTGTCCTATCTCCATTAGAACACTGGGAGTATGAGCTATTTATGGGTTCTTTATTGACCTTTCCTCATTAGTTTCCCTTTTCCTCCAGTAAGACTATTACTGAAAGAGGGTCAAATAATAGTTCTGATACCATATAATGTTTTAACTCCATCATGAGTCCTGAAGGATGATAGGAACTGAGAAGGGATGAATCTTGCATACCAAAAAGTTTGCTTTAAGGTCTCTGCTTTTCCCTCCTGCTATAGGATTCTGAATTAGAGCCTATGAATGGTGAGATAATGGATGATACTCTTAAGACTTCACTTACAACGGAAGAAGAGGACTCCATTAGTGAAGGTTTAGAAGAAGAATTGAAAGCACAGTCTTGTAATTCCAGTGAAGACACTGTAAATCTTGTTCCACTGGTGGTAGAATCCTCAAAACCTCCCGAGGCTGTTGCACCAGATAAGGTAAGACAGAAATAACCCTATTTTTTTTTTTTAAATCATTTAAAGTGTGCTATTGTAAATGCCATTGAGGATAGAGGGGATTGCATACTATATTTTCCTCCAGCTTAACTTGTACAGTATCTGCCTTCTGATTTCAATCCCTAGCAACTGCCCCCTGCCCAAAAGGCACATCTGCTTTATGATAATGAAATGAATTTTTACTTTATTTACTTAGGGAATGCTTAGAAAAGTGGATAAACATGATTTACCAAATGTCAAGTATCCTATCTGCTTTCATAGTCTATGACCAATATAATTTTAATTAATGAGGCAGAATAGATTAGTGGGAAAAAAACCATGGTGTAGTATTTGAAAAGAAATTTCTTTTACTTTTAAATATTCTAACTAAAGGCTAAAATATTATATTACACTGATTTACTAGTCTGTCAACCTAATTGCTGAATAAAACTTACATTGCTTTTACCTAATGAAACCATAATCAGATTTAGTGGAGTAGCATAGTGTTAAGCAGTTCTTGGTTCTGGCTCCAGTACCACCAGAGACTAAACTCTTGGAGGTAATTCATGGTTTTGCAGAATCTTGGTATAAAATTTTAAAATGTCAGGCTGGGGTTGTTGATCAGTGGTAGAGCACTTGCCTTGCATGTGTCAAGCCCTGGGTTTGATCTTCAGCACCATATGAAAAAAAAAAAAACAAATAAAAATATAAATATATTAAAAAAACTTTTAAAAGTCCTAAATACTCTTTGAGGTAAAATAATTATTATATCTAGTAGTGTATTAAAATTACTATGAAAAAATTTTTGAATAAATTGTATTTGGAATATGCAGATGATTAACAAAAATAATGTATACTGAATTCTTTTAAATTGTAGTTCATTACAGATTAATGTGAAAATAACTCATTTTAGAACTATATTGCAAAAGATGTGCAACCATATTGAACTATATTGCAAAACACAAAACCCAAATTTTGTGTTTTCAGACTCCACATATAACTGATACAGAAGTGTTGGTAGACCAAGGCCCATCTGATGACAAAGGGCACACCGAAGAGAAACTGTCTCCAGTTTCAAGAAAGAAAGCACATTTTGGAGGTTCAGACAAGGTTGACAGTATCTCAAATGAAGACCGATCTGACAGTGGTTTTCCAAACTCCGTGATAGCTGAATTTTCTGAAGAACCGGTATCTGAGAATTTATCACCCAACACTACTTCCTCACTTGAAGATCAGGGTGAGGAGGGGGTGCCTGAGCCCCAGGAAACATCTACTGCTCTTTCTCAGAGTTCTTTGATAGAGGTTGAACTTGAGGATGTGCCATTTTCACAGAATGCAGGACAGAAGAACCAGTCAGAGGAGCAGTCTGAAGCATCTTCTGAGCAACTGGATCAGTTTACACAATCAGCAGAAAAAGCTGTGGATAGCAGCTCAGAGGAGATAGAAGTGGAAGTGCCTGTAGTAGATAGGCGGAATTTAAGAAGAAAGGCCAAAGGGCATAAAGGACCTGGTAAGAAGAAAGCTAAGCTGACCTGAATGAAGAAGGAATGTGTATGATAAATCTTCTTTGTAACATAATTGTTGTTTTTAAAACAGTGATTAATAAACAGCATGGAGCACAGGACAAAAATTTCTAAAATTTCAATTTGAACTGGAATTTATGATGCAGTTTTTCTCTCCCTTTAGGACCTGTGGTTCAACATTCTTTTTAATTTTTCAGACTATTTTGTGTAAATAGAATTTTTTATTTTTATTAACCATATTTCAATTTTGGGAAACCAGATCATATTATATTTTTCTTTAGCAGGTGGGATACTTGACCATAAATATTTCAAAAAAATATAAATTTAAAAAGTGAGTAGTCGGCTTTCCATTACTTGTAAGGATCATAGAAATCTTTTATACTAAGGGTTTTAATAGTGAAACTTGGTGAAGGGTCTAGAAGTTTTATCTTGGATATCAAAACTAATTCCCATTTTTTAAAAAGTTGGCACACCTCAACAAAAATGGCAGTAAATTAGAGTAAGTAAAACCTTAAGTAAATTACAGCCCAGAAATAGAAACTTATGTCACAGGTTTATCAAGATATTTTGGTTCTCCTTTTAATCTTAGTTGGGATGCAGTTTCTTCCTTTGACTTCAATGTTTGCAGAAAGCTACATACAAAATATACTTTTGACTCTGACTAGTAACAGAATTGCTAGAGATTTAATTAGCATGTGGGGAAATTTTTAGAATTCCATTTGAAGTAGTAGTTTGTTGTAATTTTTGTATTACCTTTAATCAGGGAAACATCCTAACTATAGAATTAAGGGATACAGTTTAATTTGGGCTATCTAGTCTTTATTTTTTAGTTGTAGATGGACACAATATCATTTTTATGTGGTGCTGAGGACCGAACCAAGGGCCTCGCACGTGCTAGGTGAGTGCTCTATCGCTGAGCCACAACCCCAGCCCCTATCTAGTCTTAATCTAAGATAAATGACCAATACGTTTGTTCCTACCCAATTAATAGCTATACTTCAGAAGATCCTTTTCTGAGCTTTATCCTTAATTCGTTTGTTCCTACCCAATTAATAGCTATACTTCAGAAGATCCTTTTCTGAGCTTTATCCTTAATTCAGTAACCCTATTTTCCATCAGCTTTCATCTGGTCCTCTCTCATTGTGATTCTTCAGTCAAAAGATCTGCCTGCCTGTCAGTTTATGCCCTTGGTAACCATTTTTGTGTAGAATTGGAACTGTACCCACAATCTCAGGCCTAGATGGCAGGAGAAAAGCTGCCTTGGGAGCTGTAGGTACAATAGCTTAAATCAAATTGAAGGGTTCAGTTGTCCCTTTGGTCTTGCTCACTTTTAGATTTGTTCTGAGTATTGGTTGCAAGATAGCTTCTGTATGTACTTTTTGGTGCCACAGCAAAGTCATTAATTTGCTTAAAAAAATTTGGAGGGAAAAAAATCCCTAAACTTAAGTTTTTGTATGGCAATTTGTTTTAAAATAAACAAAATAGTTACTCTTAGAATTGAAAGAGAATCTCAAAATAGATCCCAATCTTTGAAAGTATTATGTGAACTTCAATTTGCACTTTATGTTGAGAATGTTTTGAGATCCTTTCAGTTTGTTCTTGACAGCTTGTAGATTCCTGTGTGAAACATGTTATGACTTTCTGTCATGATTTGAGGTGCTATGGATTTATGTTGAAAGTTTATTCAGTCTTAAGTCAGGTGGTCTGATGATGTCGTGTCATTAAATTTTATTTTGGAATATTGATATTTAGATCAATTAGTTAAATTTTTAAGCAGGCAAAACAGTAAGTCCTTCCTGTTCACATAAGATCTTGAACACTTGTGTTCTCTCTTTTCTTTAATTATTGGTCAGAGGAAATTAGATAATTCTATTCTAAGTGAAAATGAAAGTACTTTGGTCATTTGTTTTCTCAGCATATAAGTGTGACTAATGCTAGTGAACCTATCCAATATTCATGCTATTTTACAGTTTAAGAAACTTGTTAATATCACAACTAGGAAGTTATGATCCTGGTAAGATCCGGAAAATTCATAGTTTCCATCTTTCATTTGTTAAAATAGACTTAAACTTTTAGATAATTTACTGATTTACTAATTTTTTTTTGCTCATTGCTGTCTTTACTTTCTTTAAAACTGGTATAGTTTTAAAAGAAGATTGTACTCACAACTCTTGGTGTGTGAAGTCTCTTATTCATGTATGATCACTGGGGACTAACAGTGTAAACACTTGTTCAAATCTTTGCTCAGCACATGAGAAAATGTTATTATATCTATGATAGTTAGAAAATGTTATTTTTGGGTTATAGATCATAGAGCAAAAAGTTAGATCACATGGAGAAACCTAACTTTTCTTGTTTAGTAATTTATGTTGATATATACAGTTTATAACAGTTTATCCTGAATAGAGATTCTAAATAAACTTAATCAGATACTTGTAGTTTTTGCAACACATTAGAAAAACTTTCAGAATTACAGTAGACTGTAATGTGATTTCAACCAGCTAGTCTAGTTGTTGAGTGTTCAGTCACATTCTACATAGTCCTTTGTGAACTGCTATTTTCTATTCAGATGTCTGCCAAGAAAGGAATTGACTTTTGTGTATATACGTATATATTTCCTTGTGTAATATAAAGCAGATGGTTATTAGCAAAATTTTAGTTCTTTCAAGTATAAATTATTCAATTGCTAGACCTCACAGAAATTAGTATATTTAAAAATTAACAAAGCTCCTCTACAACTTTTAAAGGTGAGAGGCTCTATTACGATTTTTTTATAAAATCAAACAGCATGACTTAAAATGTGTTTATATTCATGGTGTTTCCATACAGTGCAGAGATGGTAAAGATAACATCTAGTTATTAATGGTTTGCTTTTAGCAGATTACTGTAACACTATTTAAAATGGTTTTAGTGACTTTATAAAAAGTGTCTTGAAGGTTTATGATTGAGTCTTTACCTAATATCTAAATTATCTGCTCTTATGTTCCACTTTATCCTTGGGGGTTATCTTCTAAGGTTAGGTCACACCAGCAAACTGCAAGATTTTAATGTAAATAAAGAATTTATACTGACACTACTCATCTGTGTAACAATATTTTAGAAACAGATTTCTGCCTTGTATGTCCACTAGTAGCAACATGGTGTTTCAGGTGTGATCCAGTCTTTTTACAGGTGATTTATTACAAATGTTATGCTTGTTTTCATATTGAGTATCAAACCTCCTTTTTACAAGATAATTTGTTTCTTTAATTTGGGTCTAAAAATTGAGTAAACGTCCTTTCTGTAGTATTCAGTTATTACCTAAAGTTAATTTTTTCCCTCTTCTAGAACTTAATTCACACATTACCCATTTTTATTAGTGGCAAAATCATTTGTTAAATTCTAATTTAAGAAGGGTTCAGCTTCTGTCAAATGATTCTATTGTACTGAAACATCATTTACATGGAAGTAGCCTTCCTTTTCCTATGTGTTCTAGAACTTCGATTATGTTTATAAAACTTAGGAAAAATGAAACATTATTCAGAATAGCAAGTCTTAAAGAATACTTTTTTTTTTTTTAAAGTTTGAAAATAGTTGTTAATATAATTTGTGATTGTTTTCTGGTCTGCTTTAAAATTCTTTCATTTTACCCCTACTTTCATTCATGAAAATGTGTTTAGATACTGAATTTGTTTAGATATTCAGTTATTTTGTTAAAGAAATAATCACTATTGGCTGTACTTTGCAGACTTAAAAATAAAACAGAATTTAAAATGTTGTGGTGATTAATGTAGTATATAGATACCCTAAAGCTTAGAGTTACGACCATGTAATTCAAACCACGGAATTGAATTAGAACCCTAAAACATGACCTTTTTATTTACATTAACCAATTAATTGCAAATAATTTTCTCTTTAGGGCATTAAAGTGGAATTATCCAAAATTTTTAGTACCATTCTGAAAGCACAAGTATATATACAGAATATAGAAAATGCTAACATAAAAAAGTATGTTAATTTACTTACTGAACAAGATCACTGATGAAAAGATGTATCTAAGAGGTCTGAATTTTTTCTACATTGTAAAGCCTGCTTTTCTCTTAGATATTTTTTCAGTTATACTGGTGGTTTTTTCAGAAATGACAGATCTGCATTGCTGAATATCCACTCTTTAATGCAGATACTGGTATTTATGGGTTTGCTTTTTCAATTGTTGA